AGGAAGTTGGTGCAGCGGCGAGAAGAGAAATGGGAGGCGAGTGGAGCAAAAGAGACCAGAGAGAGTGTTTGAGGTTTGGAAGAGAAGGTAGTGGCCATGGAGATGGAGAATTGGAAGGTGAGGGAGTGTGAGTGTGAGTGAACGGAAAAAGATAGATAGATAGATAGATAGAGCGAACGAAAGAGGATAGGCCTTGGGACTTGGGAGAGAACAATGCTGCTTGCGTGGCGGGAACTCATGTGGTTGTACGTTAACTGACACCCCAGGCAAAAAAAAAAAAAAAAAGGTAAAATCATAAAATTGCTGGGGTCATACTGGTGTGGTCACTGGTCAGTGAGTCTATATTAAAAAATATAATATTAATTAAAAATAAAGTATTTCTTACTGAAAATGCAATTTTCATTAAAGTATTCATTTTTCCTTAATGTTGACAAAGTGTTGATTACTTAAAAAAAAATGTATTCCGTAATACTTTAAAATCAAAATGTAAAAAATATTACGTTTTTCACTTTTTCTTCAAAAGTACTTCGTATTATACTTTCACATATAAGTAATAAACATTTTATTCCTTATTAGTATTACATTTTTCAGTATAAATATTACATCTGATCTTCGCCTAACCCGTCTCACGAACAAAGATCTGTGAGACGGTATTACATAAATTTTTGCCAAATTATAGGCATATTTGGTTTGCAGAATTGTGGATATAAATATTTGAAAAATAAAATTTAAATTCTGTGAAAAATAAAATGATTAATATGCAAATATTAATTTTATAGTTTTGATACACAAATTTTATTTGTTGCTGATGATGACAATAGGATTCTGGAATCCTTTATATAATAAAGCTATATGGTTTGGGAAATAATTAATGTTACAATTAATATCACAACATCCTTTATTATAAAAAAAAAAAAAAAAAAAAAAAAAAAAAAAAAAAAAAAGCACAACATTTAAAAAATAAAATAGCTATATGTTATATAATCATATAAAAAATATACTTTTGAAAAATAAAATAGCTATATATTATATAATCATATAAAAAATGTGTTCAATTAGAGTTTAAATTTACGCATACAAAATTTAAAATTTGCTTTCCAAATGTAATTATCTTAGTTATTATTCGTATTGTGAAAATTATAATATAGATGAAAAACAATTAAGAATAAATCAATGTAATTATGTAAATTCTGTTTATTTGAATATGCACATAATTAGAGATTATATTAACCATACAAAATTATAATTTTAATATTAATTTTAATTTTAATTGTAATTTTGTATTCTATAAAAATAATAAATACTTGACCAATGGAAGCTCAAAAATATTATTATATTAAATAATTTAAAATATTTTAATTTTTCTATTTTTTATTTATATTTATAATAACATAATTTTTTCCCGTGCATCGCGCGGGTGAATTACTAGTATTATTAATAATAAGAACCCATACACAATAAATAAATAAATAAATAAATATATAAATATATATATATATATATATATATATATATATATATATATATATATATATATATATAGTTCTATACTAAGTACACAAGACTAGAGTCCTACATCAGACATAATACAAAGCAGTAGTATATTCCTAATGCTCCCCCTCAAATTCAAGTAGGATGACTAACAACATTGAGCTTGTCATGAAGAAGGGCAAAAGCGGTCCAACAAGCGGCTTAGTGAAGATGTCTGCAACCTGATCTTCAGTAGAGATGAAATTAACCTGGAGTTCCCCTTTTGCCACTTTGTCACGTACGAAATGATAATCAATCTCTACATGTTTGGTGCGTGCGTGAAAACCGGATTAGCACAAAGATACGTGGCACCCATGTTGTCACACCACAACTTAAGAGAGACCGTAACAGGCATTCCAAGCTCACGCAACAAGGCCACTAACCATGTCACTTTAGCCGATACATCAACCAGAGCTTTATATTCGACCTTTATAGAAGATCGGGCAATTGTCCTTTGTTTTCGACACGACCACGAGATCAAGTTAGACCCAAGAAAAACAGCATAGCCATTTATTGATTTTCGGTCCTCAGGGGAACCTACCCAATCAGAATAAGTAAAAGCATGCAACACATCAGAGGGAGACTTGCGTAAAAATAAGCCATAATGAAGCATACCTTTAATATATCGAAGCACTCATTTGATCAACATATCCCAATGAGCCAGAATGGGTGAGTGCATGTGCTAACACAGTTTGTTGACAGCACAGGAAAGATCAGGACGAGTTACGTGAGGTACTGCAGAGCCCCAGCCAAGCTCATGTAGTGTGTGAGATCCGCATATGGCTAAACTAATTCATCAACAGTCCGCACCAACGAAGCAGGCGTAGCTAAGGTCTTGTAATCAACCATGCATGCACGCTTTTGTGACAACCCAAAATTTTTCAAAATAGCCATTTTTCACGCTTTTATAAATTCGATTTTAAGAAAATCCAAAATAGTCATTTTCCACTCTTACAAATTTTTTACGATAAACACGGTGTTTGAATAAATTATTTTGAGTGATTTTTTTAAAATAAATTCAACATCGAGAATTACCTATTTCTAAAAAATCCTAAATTTCCGGGTACATTGCGTACCAAGTTTTGAAACTAAAAATCTTTCTGAATGAAACCGGGAGAAATCTAAGAAGCCTAAACCAAGTGTTGATCAAAAAATCATTTTTGGGGAATTCATTTTAACCCCCAAACTATTTCAAATCTTGATTCTAGACTTTTGTCCATGAAGCTTGGTGAACCACTAGACTCCACACTTTGTTGTCTGATGCTTTTTAGAACAACCACCAAATTACCATTTTTGCTATCAGCCAATCATAAGTAAATTGTCTAGGGTTTTGCACCCTATAAAACCCACTCTATCTCCTCCTTGATTCTCTGATCTCATTCCTTGCTTCTCCAAGCCTTGCCTGAGAGAAGAAATGCAGTCACAGTAAGATTTTCTCATTCCTTCACCTTGTTTCTTTGAATCATTCCTTTTAGCTTCCCAATCTTTGAGAATCTTAGGCCTAGTGTTGTGGTTGCTTGGAATCCTGGTCAGGGAGTGTGCACACTGATAGTTTGATACCTGATTCCACAAAGTTTGAGAAATGAACCAAGAGAGTGGTTCTGTGGGCGAGATGAGTACTAGGCCGGCTAGATGCCGAGCCCGGATAGGTCTGTTCACATTATGGTGAAGTTCCTACCTCGCCCATGAGTACAAAGAAAGAAAGAAAGAAAGCGAGTCATTGAGACTCAAGAAAAAGAAGAGAAAAGCGAGTCATTGTGACTCTAAGAAACCTCCACAGAAAAAGTGTTCATTTTTTACAAAAGTGCGAGTATATATGTATATCTATCTATATACTTATACCTAAAGCATCATGTTCATTTTGTTGCATGATTAAATTAATTGCACGTGTTGCATGATAGTGAGATAAAAAACATGACTTTATATTGTCATTTATGTTATATGATAGCATGAGATTGCTTATTGAGTTATATGATAGGATGAGATTGCTTATTGAGTTATGTGATATCAGAGTTTTTTGCACTTTTGGTCCCACGACTATGGTGTCACTAACAACTTTGATCCACGACTTTTAAAACTTGTAGAATTGGTCCACGACTATGACTTTTTTAGCAAATTTGGTCCTTCCGGTGCATTTTCCGTTCAATTTTTGCCGAAAATTTTTACTTCCCATTTTAACATGGATAATATTGTCTTTTCTATCTCACAAACTAATGACATAATTAATTAATTAATTAAATACAACCGATGGTACGGTGATTGAAATTAAAAGTCACCCAATTTCAATTCCACTTTCAGTTTCACCCTCATCGCTAAACGCCAAATTTTTTTAGCTAAGCCTGCAATTTCTCAATATATAATTTTTAGCCTAAAATTTCACAATACTGCAGGTTTAGCTAAAAAAATTTAGGCTAAAAATTATATATTGAGAAATTGCAGGCTTAGCTAAAAAATTTTGGCGTTTAGCGAGGAGGGTGAAACTGAAAGTGGAATTGGGTGACTTTTAATTTCAATCAACATACCATTGGTTGTGTTTAATTAATTAATTATTTATTTATTTATTTATTTATTTATTTATGTCATTAATTTGTGAGATGGAAAAAATAATATTACCCATGTTAAAAAGGAGAGTAAAATTTTCCTGCAAAAATTGAACGGAAAATGCACCGGAAGGACCAAATTTGCTATGAAAGTCATAGTTGTGGACCAATTCTACAAGTTTTAAAAGTAGTGGATCAAGTTGTTAATGATAGCATAGTCGTGGGACTAAAAGTGCAAAAAACTCTGTGATATCATGAGGTTGCTTATTGAGTTATATGATAGCATGAGATTGCTTATTGAGTTATGTGATGGCATAAGATTGATCATTGAGATATTGTTGACATGAGTTTGTTGATGAGATAAATGATAGAGAATGCATGCCTATTTTTGATAACTAGGTTGCAAGCATCTAGAACTTGTTGTGAGTAGGTTAAAGTATTGTTAAAGTGATTAAGTTACTTGATCTAAGTGTATTTGGTAAATGTTTTCCAAAAGTATATATTGTAGTATTTTACAGGGTTGAGTGGCGTTATACTTAGCTTCGTGCTAACGGGTTGCTTTCTATTTGTTTTGTTTGTTAACCCCTTTCAGGTGGGCCCAGTTCTTGAGAGCGTTCGAGTTAGACTAGATTAGCTTAGTTCGCTAGTTGTAGTCTAAACTCTTGTCAGTTATGTTGTTTGAGACTTGGTATTAGACTTATCTAGTTTTTTTTATGGTGCCAGACACCGGGGTTTTATCCCCTAGTTTATTTAATGTTTGTATAACTTGACTTGTTTAAATGTTTTTCCTTTACCTGTGCAATCACCGTGTATGGTGGTTGTGGCGGACTGGCAGTGACACCTCTTATTGATGAAAGTAGTTTTATATTGCTTGTTAGTAATCCTTTTTAAGTTAAGTATTTGATTATAAGGTTTTAGAAAAGTGGAGTGTTACAGCTTTAATATAGCACTCATATAACGTCGATGAAACAAAAGCATACCAATGGGTACATAGATCGTCCCAATACCAAGAAAGAAAGAAGGTGCTCCCATATCACAGACTTTAAATACCGAAGACAACCGATCAACCAAGGCAGAAACAGAAGTTGAAACACTTCTCATGATGAGAATATCGTCGACGTAGACCAAAAGATACACCTGCGTACCTTTAGCTGAGTAAATCAAGAGAGAAACATCAGTTTTGGGCAATCGAAAGCCAACAGAGATTGAGAAGTCATGCAAACGAGTAAACCAAGCTCGAGGAACCTGTTTCAAACCATATAGAGAACACTGCAACAAACACACAAAATCAGGGTGCTCATTGAGAGAAATGCAAGTGACACTTGTGTTTCACGTTGACCAACCGTACAAAAAAAATGTTATCGAAACAATAGTTGAATGTACTCATGTAGTCTTTTAGTATCACCTTTTTATTAAAGGTATAGTGTTACACCTTCTTAATCTCCTTAATCGAAATCTATACCAACTTTAAACACAAATTCATTCCAGAGTTCTAGTCACCCCACTCATTCTATAAAAAAAAATCACGGCATAAAGTCTTGGGCTTTCTAGTGTTGTTTACCTTTCATGTTTGGTTTACAGTTTATTACACAGAAGCGGGGTTCACCTAATGCACACCCTCAAGTAGTAGTTGCACATTTTACTCATCCAAAAAAAAAAAAAAGATCGAGAAACTCAGAATGTATCCAATAACTTTTAAAATGATAGATTTTTATAGTGAGGATGTTTGGTAAATAGTTGTTATTAGCTGATAGCTGCTAGATGCTTGAGTTACTGAGTTTGACTAGTTGATAGCATTAACTGATTGTAGAAAGATGTTTGGTAAATTAGTTGTTAGCTGATAGTTGATTACATGTAAAAATGACTTTCTCAAAATGCTTATCGAAAAAGTTGTTTTGAGCAGTTTCTTGATTTTAGCATTTTGGAGCAATAAATTGTAACAAAAATTAATTAATCAAACACTTATATTGGTTGTTTAACTAATTTAAACAACTAATAGTGGTCAAATAAGTCAAAATTAACTGATAAGCTAACTATGTTACTAAACATGGTCACTATTTAATGAATTTTTATAGGATATTTTGAAATTTTGAATTTAATACTTTAAAATATATGAAATCATTTAAAATAATACAAAATCATAATTGAATACACTCTTTTAGTATAGACTATCAATGCTATTGACTCTATTACAATGTAGAAATATTTATAGCCCATGAAATTTAAACGTGAGACTTCTCATTTAAAGAACCACAGTTATATTGTTCGACGACAAGGCCTTTGGCTCATTCATACCTATTCAATTCTAAAGATCTTAAAATTTAACTTGAGTTCCAACAAATACTCGTATTCCGTAGAGTTAATTCCAGCAATGGTCCTCTGACTATGTTGATTTTTCATAATCGGTTCCCAACTTTTAATTTGGACAATTTAGACACTTGACTTTCGAATTCTTTCTAATGTTGGTCCTTCCGTCAAATCAAAGTTAAATGAATGTTAATTTAAGGGGTAAAAAGGTCCTTCAACTGCTGAGTGTATAATTCATCTTCGTTCTCCCTGAGAGATGAGAAGAATAAACGGAAAATCTTCTAACCACTGGAAACCATGGAGTCTCCAGATAAAAAATCGTAATAAAATCCATTCGAAAATGAAACAAAGTCATAAATCGAAAGGAGCAGACCCAAAAGATGGGAAATTCCAAAAATAATATAAGTTTGCATTCTTTAAAACAAAACCATGGAGGTTCGGCACTGAAGAAATGCAAGGAAAGAAGAACTCTAAGTGATGAAGCTTTCTAGAGAGGAGGAGAATGAGAGAATCCTTAGCCTAGAGAGAGATAGAAGCACTCCCACTTCACTACACTAAGAGTAATAATATAAGTTTGAATAGGATATGTGTGCTTGCAAATAAGTTTATGGGAAAGTCGTTTTCTTCTTTCCCCGGTGCAATGGCGCCACCTGCAATGGCGAATTCTGGGTTGGAACTGGCAGTGGGAAGGAACAGCTCTGGCGGGTTGAACCCGGTGGACAGTTTATTGCCACTGAAACTTGATTTTGGCAATGCGATTTCGAGTGGTTTGCCTTTGATGTTCTGTTGAATCTTTCCCTTAAGGGCTCCATTTCTCCGTACCTTTCGAATTGCACGAATCTCCAGACGTTGGACCTGTCCTCCAATTCCTTAGCGGGGCCCATCTCGCCGGAGCTTCAGTTTCTGGTCAAGCTCACCGTGCTTAACCTCTCCGCCAACCACCTCGCCGGCCCAATCCCTAAACAGCTCACCCTTTGCGCCTCGAATTGCACGAATCTCCAGGCGTTGGATCTGTCCTTCAATTCCCTGGTGGGGCCCATCCCGCCGGAGCTTCAGTTTCTGGTCAAGCTCGCTGTGCTTAACCTCTCTGCCAATCGCCTCGCCGACCTAATTCCTAAACAGCTCACCCTCTACGCCTACCTCAACGTCATCGATCTCCACGATAACCAACTCTTCAGACCCATCCCGCCGGAGCTGGAGCTCTTGATCCGGCTAGTGGTGTTCGATGTGTCGAACAACAAATTCTCCAGTCCGATACCGACGTCGCTGGGGAACTGGGCCAAGAACTTGCCCCGATTGAATGCCAACTCGTATGAGGGAAACAATGATCTTTTCGCGTATACAGAGGGGAAGGAAGATGAATTATACACTCAGTAGTTGAAGGATGTTTTTACCCCTTAAATTAAAGTTCATTTAACTTTCATTTGACGGAATGACCAATATTGGAAATAATTCAAAAATCAAATGTCTAAATTGTCTAAATTAAAAATCGGGGATCAATTATGAAAAATCAATATAATCGGATGACCATTGCTGGAATTAACTCTATTCCGAAACAAATAAGAATAAAAATAACAATAACATTTTTGGTGCGTTTTGAATACCCTACTGTTTTCCCTTGCTCAGTATTGCTTCTTAGTCATTACTTTGACAATTCAGTTTAGAAAATAAAATAGAACTGAAGAAGAAGAGGAGGAGAAATGGCGCCCCCGGAGGAGGAAATCAAGGAGGATTCCGTCGCCGCCGCGTCTTCGGCCGATAACCGTCCTATCTCTACCGTCCTCTTCATCATTGGTATTCCCTTTATTCTCTCTCCGCATATTTATGCATGTGTGTGTATACACGATGTGATAGTTATAAGCGATGGGGACTGACCGTGGTGTGAATGCTGCGCAGCTATGCAAAAGGAGGCGCAACCTCTCGTGAACAGGCTCCAACTCACCGAGGATGTCGATTCCATGTACATTTACTTTCCTCATTCCATTTTACTGTTGCTTTTTTTGCTAATTTGTATATCGAGACTATAAATGTTGTACAGGAAGTTGGATATTTATATGCATTCCGCGGTTATATTATATATTGATAGCCATTATTGTAAAAATGAAACCAGTTATGTTTAATCAATGATGTAAGTTGTTATATAGTTCAAAATATCTTTTACTTCCCGACCCAAAAAAAAAATAAAAAATTCTTGACTTCTTTTCAGGAAAGTGAACAAATTATTACTACTAAAGATTGCTTCCTTTTTCCTGCTTCCATTACTGTATAATCATGCAGGTTTCTAAAGGGGGTACCTTGGATGCGGTATTATGGGAACTATAAGGATCTGAACATTAGTATTGTCTGCCCTGGAAAAGACCCCATTTTGGGTAGGTAGTCGTTTTTCCCAATTTCTGTCCACTTGCTGGTTGTGTTTTTGTTACCTGAGTTCTCTGCTTTAGATTACTTGTAAATCTGTACTGCACTTTGTTTGGAAGGTAACCAATCCTCTATCAAAAGGTTGACTCAAGTTGAGTTTGTGAAACTGTGTAACCATGTGTTGCCTCTTTGAACTTTCTATTGATGAGAGGAATATATGCAGTATTTCTCCTGTCTTTTGATGGATGATGTGCGTGGTTGTTTTTGTCTGGCAATATCTGATGTCTACATATTTCTTTTCTGGTCACTTGTATAGATTTCAGAACATAATATTCAACAAAAATGCACATACAAGTATACAACTATACAAGCATGCCAAATGTGATCATAGGATATGGAGCTGTTGTTTGGCAAAAGTCAATCTTTCTTCTAGAACATTGATAGTGACTATGGTGAAAGTCTGTATGGTGTCATTGCACAGAACCATAACCATTGTTAGTTAGTCTAATCTGAATCATGATTCATGAATGATGTTGCCGGGACCATGAATTATGCAAAACACTAGGCAGCTGGTGATCTCATCCTTCCATTTATCCCATATTCTGTGCAGAGTTTCTCTTGCTGCTGTATTACTGGTACTAATCCTCTGAACAATCACTTCTGTCAGGGGTTGAAAATGTAGGAACAGTTTCTGCAGCTCTTCTGACATATGCTTCTATCCAAGCATTACAGCCAGACCTCATAATAAATGCTGGAACAGCTGGTGGATTTAAGGTAAAGTTTGTGTCCCTATATGGATATTGTCTTGGAAAACTGTAGCTCCCCTCTCTCTGATGATATTTTTTAAGTCACTATCCAGACACTTTACAATTTTCCTTATAAATTTTTAATGTTTATGTGTATTTGTTAATGATTTTAGACATTTTCAGGCAAAAGGAGCTTCCTTAGGAGATGTGTTTCTTGTCTCACATGTTACATTCCATGATAGAAGAATACCCATACCGGTAACTTCGCACTCTATCCTGGGTTTTCCTATTACCTACTTGGCACCTGTTAAGGGAAGTATTTATGTTCATATTTTATGCTGCAGCCAGAATCTTTATTTTACATTATTTTTCATAAATAAGGAGTATAGCTATTTCATATGTTGAGCTTGGTCTATTTGCCAACCTTGTGCATCTTCTTTATTGGACATTGCATGATGCCAGTCTTTTGCAGTAAGTTGTGTGTTTTTAATAAATATAGCTTCTGCGCTGATGGTGAGATTACAAGTTTTTCATTCATGAGACAAGGGACATCACACAAAATTGTCCTAGAGAGAACCAACCTGTACCTGCAGCTTTTGGTTGACTATATTCTGTGTGTTTCAGCCATGACGTGATTAAGTCTATATCTAATCCTAGCTTGTCATTCCTGCAGGCATTTGATTTATATGGAGTTGGCTTGCGTCAGGCTTTTGAGACTCCCAATCTCCTGCAGGAGTTAAATATGAAGGTATGGTGATTATTCTTTGGCCATATATATATGGAATGGTTGAAGATAAAAGTAAAAATCTTGTTCAAGTTCATATGTGTGGATGTTTCAGGTTGGTAAACTGTCCACTGGTGATTCTCTAGATATGGCACCAGTTGATGAATCATGTATCATTGCGAATGATGCAACTGTAAAAGATATGGAGGTAATCTTCTTTCAATCTACTCCTCCACTGTGATTTATTTATTCACGGTGGTCTTTGCCCAACCAACTAAAAAGTACACAGACTGCCCGCATGGGCAGTTCAACTGGTCATAGAGGTGAAAGTTGAAAAGAATGACCAGGGATCGAGTCTTACCGGCGGCAGTGTGGGAGCAACCTCTCAAAGTGAGGGGGACTCCTTGTGCGCAGTAAGCAAAGGTCTAACCTCCGTGATTCATGTTCAGTTGAGTTACCATGATTTACATCATCCCAGATGTTCTGTCGGGCCGGGGTGTGAGGGGCCCTTAGGGTTGGGGTTCAACCTTTGGAAAGAAAAAGTACGCAGACTTGCCTATTTGGTTAGCCTGTCTTTTACTTGTGCTTTCCAAATATATACAATGATAATTGGGATGTAGGAAGTGAAGTTTGGTGGTAATATGCTGTATCGTTAAATTTTTACTCTATGGTATGGTATGATATTGGGGCCAAAGAAAAAGAATTGCCATGTTTTAGGAAGAATAATATCAGGTTAAGAGTTGGTTTGATGGGTTGCAGGGAGCAGCGGTAGCTTATGTGGCGGATCTTTTGAAAGTTCCTGCAATTTATTTGAAAGGCGTGACTGATATAGTGGATGGTGATAGGCCGACATCGGAAGAGTTCTTGGAAAATTTAACAGCAGTAACTGCTGCTCTGGATGAAGCAGCAGGTCGAGTCGTTGATTTCATAAACGCCAAATCTCTGCCTCAACTTTGATACATACATATATGCTGCTTGCTTGCTTATCTCATTCTTCCTTCCATCTCTACTTGTGTGGATGACACTCACACAAATGCAAATGTAATGAACCTTTAAAAGATTTTGTTGGTTTCTTTAATAGGAAAAACAAAAGGTAACTATATAAATTGTTAGTCTCTCCGATCCTCTCCAACTAAATCAGCATCAAACCCTTCCGGAGAACCAACCTCAAAAACAGCTTGGAATTCATTCAATTCAATTTGCACACACGCTCACTGCTAATTTCTCTTTGGTAATCTAATTTCAATGTGTCGTTGTCTGTCACACAATGTTGAAAAAATTACTAGGCGCCTGGGAACCGCCTAGGTAGGCGCTGATTAATCCACGATTTTTGCAACACTGGTCATACAACACACTTTCAAAAAAACCACTTACAAAATTGGCCAGATTTTGGGGGAAACAAAAAATGTGGGAAATCAGGGGTTTGGTTCTCAATGGGCAAATTGGTACCACATCAATATTGTTAAAGCACGAGTGTAACATCATCTAAGTTAAAGAAAGAAAGGGTTCTAATGTTCAAGTGCAAGTGGAAATTGAAAAGATAGAAATGAGCACAAGTTGGAGAATAAGATAAACAACCCATTGCACAGCTTTAAAGCTTAGGGAGGGAGGGGATAAAACATCGATGAAATACATATTCTCAGATCGTAAGTTAGTGTTCAGAAAGCATTGAGATTTCTCCAAGGTCAACTCATTCAGGATAATCACGTTTTGCTTCAACTGTCAACTACAAATTACATCCACTCCCCACTTGACCACTTTGTCCCTGGAACGCTATAGAGAGCAAAAGAATATAGAAAACAGAAGGCGTGTGTGTGTTGCAATCAGCACTCACACTACCCCCGAAGGAAGGCGCAAAACCAGCTGTCCTCCAAAAACACTGCACGAGAAAAACAAGAATCGATGAATCATTCGGATCAAACAAACGAGTAATCTGTTCCTGTAAAGGACAAACATACTGGAAGGAAGAACGAGTTTGTTTATTTAACCTTTTCACATAGTAGTAACAAAAGTCTGCCAAGATGAAAGTTTGCACAATTTCAGATATCAGAACCATAGAAGGCCATAGACCATGACCCAATGCCACTAGGAGATGGCCACGACTATCCAAAACCTATGAAAGAAATGCAGCAACGTGTTAGCTCTCCTAACACATAACTTAGTCTTTGAGAATTGCTATTTAGACAAGTTGGATATAATGCTTCATTCAGTTGTTTGGCCTAAAGTGCATAACATCTTATCTACTCCAAAAAAAAAAGAAAAAAAGCTGGGTCAAATACTTAAAAGGGAAAAACTTTTTAAAGCCAAATAAGAGGTCAAAACATATATTTCAAAAAGCTTCATAGTTGAGAGTTTCTAGAAAAGGCTCCATCTCAATAAACTTTAGTTAGGCCAAACAAGGACTTGTGAGTACAGAAATAAAACCCAGGTACACAAAATTTAAAGCTGTATTTACTTCCATTTTTCTAAATTTCCGTTCTCCATTCTTTGTTTTTTGTTTTTTGTTTTTGTTTTTTTTCAAATGAAAAAGTAAACATATTCTCCATTTTCCTTTCTCGTGTTTCCTATTTCTCCAATTAGTAGGATATTCAATCCATCTGTGACCCAAGCTCTAACACACTTGTTCAAATTCATATGATATATTACTCTGTATGATGCTAGTTTACATTTTATTTAAAAAAGGCCTAAAGCAAATTTGAATAATAAAAAGCACATAAGATAAAAGTTAGATAATAGTTGCCTAATATAAACAGCAATACAATCAAGTTTAGAAGTCAAACCTGTAGAACCCAGTGAGCACAGCTTAAGAATCTCGCAACACCCAGTGCAAATACATAATGTGCTGTAAATGGTTCAACAATCTGAGGAAAAACAAATATAGAAATCATCAGTCCATGCACAAGCTCCAATACAACTCTCACCTTCCCCTCAGCCCAAAAAGCAAAGGGTGATGTGGGAGAACAAGAACTAATACCTTAGTGTTCTGCATGACACGGAGTTGAGGTAGCACCGAAACTGCCTCCAAGTATACACAGAAAGCCCAGAAGATCCTGTTTACAATGTGATGCGATGTAGTTGGGTGAATTAAAAAAGCTAAAACAGCACATGGAACCACCTGCAAAGAAGCCAAGTTGTCAACAGCAAACTTGTGCCTGTAACTATGCAATTAAAATAGAAAACACATATTACAGAATCACAAGCCATGACAAAGAAGAAAGAATTAGAATAGATGCTTGTACATGGTTGCACCGTTGCAGTAGGCGCTAGGCGCTAGTCAGGCGCTCGGGCAACGCCTAGCGCCTAAGCGGCCTAGGCGGGCGCAAAAAAAACAGTGGCATACTTGCAGTTTGACAATTTTAATGATGTTTTCAACATTAAATCAAATAACACATCTTACTAAATGAAATAATGATAATTCATAAGTCATAACATCAAAACAATATTAAAAATTAAAAATACTCAAATACTGAAATCATCCAAAGATTGAAAGTATCAAACTAGTCTACGGGTGTACACACACACATATATATAATGAAAAAAAAATTATCCAGACCAAGCTGATCGGGTTAACTCGACCGAAATGGACGAGTTAACTCGGCTAAGTTTTACGCTAGGCGGCCAAATTGGCCGAGTTAGGTGCTAGGCGGACGCCTAGGCGGCCGGTCGCCTAGGGGAAAAATCGTCACAGTCTAGCCTAGCGCCTAGGCGGCGGGCGCCTAGACCGATTTTTGCAACAGTGTGCTTGTAGAACACAAGTATGTTTGGGACATGTCAATAAAACCTTTTTAAGATCCAACTATTGATGTAAATATGTTCAAAAAAGATTCTTTCCATGCAATGCAATCAAAACTGTCTTCCTATTTTTAGTCCAATTAAAGGACATATTGATAGTAATATCATACTTCTTTGCAGGATTTAACAAGAGGCTCACCACATAATACATTGCGAAATTGTCTTTGTCCTCCATGTAACTCGATTTTAGATTAAAACGAATCATATAAATAACCCACAAAGTTGTAGCCAGCGTAGCCATGTCAAGCAAAGTGTGTATGTCATACTCCATGACGAAGCTGCAATACAGTCTAACAGCTAAAAACATAGCTGTCAGCTCCTGGGATTTGAGAGAAAGCCCTGCAATGATTTCAAGTGCCCAATTCACAGCATATTGGACCAGCTATAAGAATGAGAGAAAGATAGAAAAGAACCGTGGTAAATTGTATAAAGACATACATAAAAATCCACATTTTCAACTAAAAGTGAAATTTATTTATGCAAGCAGTTCACAATCTTTGCTCTCTAAAGGTAAAAGGCCTACATCAAATTAGCACTTCAAAAAAAAAGTGATGCCACCTAAATGAGAAAATTTTTAAGCTTAGTTTCTTCCTTAAAAAGTTAAAATATTTCCACCAGTTTAAAAGAAAATTCTACAAAATGTCTTCATTTGTTCCTATAGCTCTGATCCAGATGCAGTAACTAAATTGAAACTATTACAAAAGAAGTGCAACTAAAATTCCACAAAATGCTTTTGAATTGATCCCATTGATACCTCCTATCTACTTTTAGAAATAAATGGAAGGATTGCAAGTTCAAAGACATCAATCATCTATTCAACCTTCATATAGAGATCTAGAGTGCCCATTCCCTTGCCTTGGCAATATGAGTAGGCATACACAAGAGAGGGCAAAAACTAGACACAAGTGAAAACATGGAATACATAATCCTTCTGAGGACTGGAAATTCGCCAAGGCAATGGGGCCTAATTCTTGCCAGAAACAGGCAAAGACAGACAGTGGCAGAGCGTGGGTGCATTGGTTGGAGACAAGTGACCAAATCTTGCAGGCTGGGTCGCTAGAGGGAGAGGAATATGCCGGTGAGGGCAGTGTTGACTGGTGATCACCAGAAATGGAAATTAATGTGAAGATCCAATCAAAGACCACACTGTTTAGGTGGCGCATGACAACACGTGGTAGGGGTTGCAGCCATTCGGGTGTGAGGTTGCAATGGGGTTTTGAGCACAGCAGTGTTGTTAATTTTTTGAGATGACCATTGGAAAATGATTGAAGCTAAAGAGGCTAATACGAGAGATTATTTTGCCAAAAAAAACCTAGGGTTTCAAAAAATTTCCAATTTTTTTATGAACACTAGGGTTTAGGGCTCTAATACCATGTAGAATAAAGAAGCTTTGTACATTACTATATGTATAATAACATGTACAATGTCCTATACTTATACACAAAGACCATGAATGAGCATAGCCACAACCTAGGGTAGTGTACTGTTGGATGATTATGCTAAAGGCTACATGTGATTTTATTAAAAGAAAAGCTACTCCTAATCTTACTATGAATCATAAAAGAATATGTCATGATTAACTGAATAAGAAGAAGGTGCTGCTAGGAGCCTAGGAAACATGACATGATTTGGCTTCGAGATTATAGCTGTTAATTATCCATTAGGATGAATGTTAAATAAGGTTATACGATGTTATTTTCCTTGAATAAACCTAAGCTGCTTGAACATGCTGAGAGTGAAGCTGGCAAAGGATCCGCAAGTGTAGCATAGTTAGTTGAATTTTAAATCTATAATAGAAAAATTAAAACTATCCCTAATCATTATAAGGAAATAGCATAAATTCTATTCATGACTGTGATTTCCCCCAAGTTTCAAAGCCCCAACATAAAAAAAAAAAAAAAAAAAAAAAAAAAAAAAAAAAAAAAAAAAGCTATGCAAAAGTGATACTAAGATTAACAATGACTTGTTTTTACAGCCAAAAGCAATTCAAACAACAGATTTTACTTATAACTAAATTCTAACAACACTATATATGGCTTTTACTGGAGCCTGGAAGTGAAGATTCTAAAGTCAACAAACCCAAGTCATCAGACCACAGAACTGAGCAGTAGTAACTCTTTTTTTTACTCAGCTCCCAAGACCATGTTTGTAAACAAAACCTAGATTTCATCAATAACTCAATCTGATGAACCCAAAATCAAACCTCAGAAACTAATGAATTACCAACATGAAAAAGATAAAAATCAGGTTTTTTTCCAGATAAACCCCTAAATTCATCCTCAATAGTAATCGATGATAGGAAAAGAGCCAATCTGTTGATTCCCCCATTAAATCGACACCTTTTAGGATTAACAGACTACCTTAAAGCACCGATTTTTTCCCCAATTTCCGGCGTTCGATAACAATTCGAAAAAGGTAAACCTACCAGCGCAAGTTTTTTCCTTCATGAGCTTGTAGATGAGGACGCAGATTCCAATGGAGTGAACAGCCTCGGCAGCGACAAAGAGGTTGTCGTGATCGTGGACGATGGCTCGGAGCATCACCAGCGCCGCCATGCCGGTGATCACGGCCAGGAAGGCCTTCACCTTGGGCGGTTGCCGCTTTACCCATGTCGTTACGGCTTGGATCGGTCTCCGAGGCATCTTCATGCTGCTGTGCCTCTTCTTCTCACAGATTTACTACCTAATTTTTAGTGTTTAGGTCTTTAGGGTTCCAATTTTAGAAATTCAAAGGGGTTTTAAGGTTATAGGCCCTTCAATTTGCTCCGCCACCTCTCTCCAAACTGATTTTTCTCATTTTATTTATTTATTTATTTTTTTGGATTAATTCTATAAAAATCATTACGTGTTCCTACCAATCACAAAAATGCCAAGTTTCCATAAATAAATAAAAAAACAATATTTTATTTTCTAAAATTTACTTAGGGCATCCCCAATAGAAAAATACTAGATGTACTCCTAAAATCTTACTCTCAACTTTTACTCTCACGTGTATCTAAATTTGATTGGAGGATGAAAAAAAAGAAATGGATAAACATCATGACCTCATATAAAATTGAGCAATCAAAACATGTCAAATCATAGGGAGTATAAAATGAGAGTAGGAATTGAAAGTACATGTAGAATTACTCTCCCAAGTCCCAACTCCCAATATGGGATTACATGGTTTTTGCATGTGCAAGTGCATATGTGGAGGAGAGACAAGGAAGAGGGAGAAGAGGTTGGGGTGTTGCAGGAGTAACTTGGTTCTTTCAGAAATTGTAGGTCCCACTAAAGAAAAAGGCAACTGCCTCACTAAAGCGTGAGCTACACAGCAAGTCCAGTCTGGCGAGTGTAATACACGCGCCCGACTTGTCGGTTTTTTTTTTTTTTTTTTTTTTTAATTTTTTTTAATTTTTTTTAATTTTTACTTTTTAGATATTGTTTTTTTTTTTTTTTTTTTTTTTTTTGTTTCCTTTCCCTCCCATATTCTTTTTCCTAATCATACTTGCAAAAACTCTTAAAAAAATTCATCTCAAAAACCTCACTATTGAGAATGCTTTTAGAGCATCTACAACAATGATTTTATCACAATTTTTTAGAAAGAAAAAATCATGTGTTGTTTTTTAAAAAATGGGGATGGTGTTTTTTTTTTTTTTTTTGGATTTTTCTCTTGCAATTAAAGATTCTTTGTGGGGCCAAATGAAAAGAGAAAATGAGAAAAGATTGCTCAGATTTGTGCTTGTGGCGCAATATTCACACCTAGTAGGGGCGTGCATAGCACACACTTATTAGGCACGTAACTAAATGTTTTTAATTATTAATTATTAATTATTTTTTTGATAGATTCCTTTTTTTTTTTCTTTTTCTTCTCATTGTTTTTTCCTCCATCTCTCTCCTAATTGGCACCTCAAAAAGCACAAAAAACAAAAAAAAAAAAAAGACCGCTACTATTGAGGATGCCCCTTATACCCTGAATTGACTTAAAAAATTAATATACAAACCTAATAAGAGCCAAAAAAGTTAGGCCCCTAACGTGAACTAAAAAATGCTGGTGTAATTGTTTGTTGAAATGAATGATTCATATTATTTTGATTTTAGTATTTTTATTATTTTTCCTATTTTACCCTCTATTATATCATTTACGTTTTCTTAAATGTCATGCATTCCATCAGTATAAACTTTTGTAACGGAATATTTCATTAATTTTTTTTTTTTTTGGGAGAAAGGGAGGGGGCGGGACCCGGTACAAGCACTAGGTATTCCTATTGAAAGCCAACAAAGCCCTATCTTAATCCATGAATGCTCTAATGTCCTCCAGAGGCTCAAGGAACTCAATCCAATCACAATTTCTTCTAAGAGTAACTCGTACAAGTCGGTCAGTAATCTCATTGCCTTCTCTGTATGTGTGGCTGAAAGTGTCGTTTTCGAGGTGCGTGTTTGGTGTGGTGAAAAGATAAAACGTGGAGTTGAGACCCCGAGTGTTGTACTCAAGGAGTGATAAATTGGAAGCTTAAAGAGAGTGGTGTTGAGAGGTTTTCAAGCTTGTCAAGCGTTGATCTAAGGAGAGCATAGCACAAAAGATTTGGATGCGAGAGAAAGTATCTGAGAAACTACAACAATTCAAAGAAAGCGGTCTAGGATTGTACCTACATTGCAATGGTGATTAGCGTCTATAAGGTAGATTAAGAGTGTGTGCATGATGAACATGGCTTCAAGATGAATGATTGCAAATGCCGTAGCCAATTTTGGTCTCTACGGCCTATCGTAGATCAATATGGCACCTAAGTGTCCATAATCTCCACGAGGCAATTCATCAAACACTTAGCCTACATTCCTTCTGGGGCCATGCTCTCTCGGACCTAGGACGGGGAATGTGGAAGGACTATAAGGCTCACCTAGGCTTAGCAATCTCTTGCCTAAACCTAGGATTATGAGATTGTCAAGAAGTTGGGCCCCAGTCCAAGAATACATCACAAACAATCATCCACAACAAGAAATCCATACAATTAATCGTCAACACACTCCATCAATTAAACTCACATCATGCTAATCAACCACATTGCAACCTAGAACACATTCCTAGCCCTAAAGGGGGGGGGGGGGGGGGGTTTGATTCATGTTATATAAGATAGCTAAGGTCATATTTGCTTGAGAGTATAAGATTCCTATGTTTGGTTCAGGTTATGTAATTTTCACAGGAAATATAACATAACCTCTAGATGAAGTTTTTAGCTATTATATTGGAAGCAATGTCGCAACTACGTTAGGCGCCCCTTAGGCGCCGAATTTTTTTTTTTTTTTTTTTTTTTTTTTATTTATTTAAAAAAAAATCAGAACTAAAAATTGTAAAATTCTAATACCTAATTACCTAAAATGGCTAAAAGTGTAAAAAGTAATTAAAAAATTATAATCCATTAGTTTAATTGTAAATTTACTAAATTATATAGTATATTAGTATAAATAATTAAATAGTATATATACTATTATTAGTTATTACTTTATTACTATATAAGTATATAGTTATTATTTTTTTTTTTTTGAATGATATAGTTATTTAGTTATATACAAGTATACAATTTAAAGAATTAGTGAATTACTCAATTAAACTTTACAAGTAAATATTTTATACCAATAGGCAATACCACAATACCATTAAACACAACTCATAAATCATAATCGATAATCCATTAATTCATAGTTCATAACTCCATAGTCCATACAAACTCCAAAAGTTTCAAATAAAGATATTATCAATTCATCATATCACTAGAGGACTAGACACTAGGTCACTAGTTCAATACAAAAAACTTCAAGTCATCAAATTTCAAACAAAGTACATGACAATTAAGTTCAACAAGATATCAAATTCAAGTATTCAACTTTCAAGGTTTTATTCTCCCACTTGTCCATCTATCACATAATTTTCATCATCTTCAAACTCAACAACCACTTCTTCTTCTTCTTCACTTTCGGATTCAAAGTTCTCTTCTTCAAGCTCTTTCAATCTAGAACTCCGTCGTGATCTTAATGCTTCATCACCCTCCTCATTATTAGCCACTTCATTTTCAACAACCTCAACAGTCCAATCTTGTGCGAAGCTTGCATCACTACCAAGTAATGTTTCAACATTTTGATCTTTTTTCCTTTTGTTCATGAAGTTTGCATTGAATTGCACAAAGACTAGATTGTTTAGGCGATGAGATTCCAACCTATTTCTTTTTTTTTTGTATGTATCTACAAATATGCAAAACAAATGTATCAACTATCATTCCATCAAGTGTGCAAAATGCAAACAAAAATGAAAAATAATTAAGTAAAGACTTAACTAACCCCTTCAAATGTACTCCAATTCCTTTCACAACCCGATGAACTTGAAGTAAGAGTTAGAATCTTTATAGCAATTGTTTGCAAGTTTGGAGTTGTTGAACCATAAGTTGACCACCACATTGCTACATCAAAATTGTATAAAAAAACATTAAGTATAAAAGATCAAAATATATACTAAACTACTAACAAATAAAAATTTTAAATTTTAAATATTAAAACTAGTATGTAACTTATTTACCTGGATCATATCGCTCATTATTTGTCTCGCATCCTTTGACCGCAAGTGTTTTCCCAAATACGCCATCTTTCCTCTTATAAATGGGAAATTCTTCATTCAATATCTTGTTTTGCATTTCTAAATCACCATGATAATATGTTTCAAGAAACTCAATGCATCCCAGAAAAACATTTACATCCAAATGAAGTCGAGGATCCTTAAAATGATAATAAGGATTCAACATGTAAGCCATCAAATGAAGAGGAGAATCTAGCCTATTGCTCATCGTTTCTTCGACTATCTTAATAATAGGGTCATAGTTTCTTTGAACTTCATTGAATGCCTTCTTAATGTCTTCTTTGGCTTGCATAAGCTCACCATAAACAAATGGCATTGACGGTCTCTTATCCTGATCAACAATACGAAGCACCCTCACCAACGGTGCAAAAACATTCAAGCATAATGTAACCCCTTGCCAAAATGAAGTATTCAAGACAATAGAATACGCATCTTTCCCTTTAATTGATTTGACAAACTTACATTCATCCCATTCATTGCTTGTAAACATAGCCCTTAATTCAGTTTTCTTACCATATAAACTCTGCAAAGTAAGAAATGCAGAAGCAAACCTAGTCACACCTGGCCTAACTATGTCACGCTTCTTTGTATAGGTTCTCATCATTGCCAAGGTTTTATGGTGTGCATAGATAAAGATAGTCAAGCTCTTTGCTTGATCAAGAACTTTTTTAAACCGTGGTAAACCTGCAAGGCATTCAAGTATGAACAATTTAAAGATTTAAAGTTAAAGAAAAGAATAAAGATTAAATAATTAAGATTTAAAGATTGAAAGATACCTGCAATGCTTTCAAGCATTAAATTAATGGAATGAGTTGCACAACAAGTCCAAAATAGCTTTGGCCTCTTCTCCTTCAACAATTTAGCAGCTCCCATGTTGTTCGCAGCATTATCTGTGACAATTTGAACAACATTCTCCTCTCCAACTTCTGCAATGCCCTCCTCCACATATTCAAATATAAACTGACTTGTGTGTGCCTCATTTGAACATTCTTTAGAAGATAAAAAAACAGTGCCCAATCTTGAATTGACACACAAGTTCATGATGCTTCTTCTCTTCCTATCTGTCCATGCATCAGTCATAATTGAGCAGCCATTTTCTTTCCACAACGCCTCATGCTCCTTCAAACTGTCTCGGACCCGATCAACCTCTTTTTTCAAATATGTTTCACTCAATTCATATCTATTTGGTGTCTGCGCTCCTGGACCGAATTGACCAACAGCTTCAATCATCAACTTGAAGCTATCTTTCTCAATAACATGAAATGGAATAGCTGATTCATAAGCCCATCTGCATATGTACTCTTTCACTCGGTTAACCCTCTCCTTGTCAAATGCCTCAATTATCCGTTGTTGCGCCGTGCCCCTTCCTGAACTCAAAGAACTTTCAGGATTGATTTGGTTTGCAAACTTATCCATAGGGCCAATTGGACAAGGTGGCTTCAAATGTTCAAACTGTTGCAACTCATCAACATCAATAATATTACTCAAACTCTCATGGGAACCAATGTTTACCTCCGCTCTTATATTAACTTCTTTAGCTCTCTTGTTCTTCTTTTTGTTCTTCGCCATCATGAGGGCATCTCTACATTTTAATTGATCTTCCTTTGAAGCTATGGGGCATTTGCTAACATTCCCTGATATGCCAGCAATATGCTCTTTGATCCGATAAACTCCACCAGACATTACTTTCTTGCACAATAAACATTTAATCTTGTCCATTGACTTAGTAGGATCATTAAGTACCCCATAGTCCCAACCTATATCATTGGACTTTCTTTTTATTGTAGTTGACGTTGTAAATGGTTGAGAAGATCCAACACTCTGACTTTGACTTTGAATTGGTGGTTGAGAAATATTATTATCATCACTTGCCATACCTAATTAATAAATAATAATTATTAATAGTTAATAAGTTAATAGTTTAAATGTTTAATACTATAAATCAATAATACCTAATTGGCTAATTTACTAATTAAGTAATTAACTAATAGAGTAACAGTAATCAATTTAGAGAATTAGAGCCATAGAATTTCAAGTTTTCAACACTGCCTAATACTCTAATTTCAAGTTTTCAACACTGCCTAGTGCCTACTGCAAATTCTACTGCCTAGTGCCTAGTGCCTACTGCAAATTCTACTGCCTACTGCACATTCAAATATATGAATAATTGAATATATGATATATAACTATATAAGAACAAAACCATAATAAAACGTAAAAATCCTAAATAAGTAAATAGAAAATACTCAAATACAAATACGGAAATTCATATATAAATAATGAAATATAGAAACAGAAAAGTGAGAGAAGAAGTACGTACTATGAAGTCTGAAGTGTGAACGCTGGCTGGACTGCTGGAGTAGGCTGGAGTCGGAGGCACGGGCAGCGTCGTGGCGGAGGCACCGGCCGGCGGAGGGGCGGGGGCTGAGGCCGTGAGGTGTGTGACTGTGCGAGAAGGGTTTCGATCGAGTCTTCGATAAATGTGGCTTCTGTGCGAATTGGTGAATTTAATCGCGTTTTTTTTGGGGTTATTCGCCAAAACGATGTCGTTTTGGCGAATAACACGAAAAAAAAAAAAAAAACGGGTTTTGCGCAAATCGGCCGGCTAGGCGGCCGGCCGCCTAGCGCCTAGGCGCGATTTTTGCAACACTAATTGGAGGGAACGTGAGATACCCTTCAATTTATTAGGTAATCTCACATTCCCTTATCTTATTACTAATTTTGGGTTATTGGCAATAAGCATGCCAAATCATAGGGAATATAAAATGAGAGTAGGAATTGGAAGCACATGTAGAATTACTCTCCCCAATATGGGATTTTACATGGTTTTTGCATGTGCAAGTGCATATGTGGAGGAGAGATATGGAAGAGAGAGAAGAGGTTGGGGTGTTGCAGGAGTACCTTGGTTCTTTCAGAAATTGTAGGTCCCACTAAAGCAAAAGGCAACTGCCTCACTACACCGTGAACTACACAGCACGCCCAGTCTGGCGAGTGTAATACACGCGACCGACTGGGCGCGTTAAACTACTTCATTTTTTTTTTAATTTTTACTTTTTAGATATTGGTTTGTTTTTCCTTTCCCTCCCATCTTCTTTTCCCTAATCACACATGCAAAAACTATTTAAAAAACTCATCCCAAAAACCTCACTATTGAGAATGCTCTTAGAGCATCTACAACAGTGATTTTTTCACAATTTTTTAGAAAAAAAAAATCATGTGTTGTTTTATAACAAATGGTGATGGTTTTTTTTTTTTTTAAATATTTTTCTCTTGCAATTAAAGATTTTTTGTGGGGCCCAAATGAAAAGAGAAAATGAGAAAAGATTGCTCAGATTTGTGTGTGTGGCGCAATATTCACACCCAGTCGGGGCATACATAGCATACACTTATTAGGCGCGTAACTAAATGTTTTATTATTATTATTATTTATTATTTATTATTTGATAGATTTTTTTTTTCTTTTTCTTCTCTTTTTTTCCTCCATCCTCTCCCTCCTAATTGTCACCTAAAAAATCACAAAAAAAAAAAAAAAGACCGCTACTATTGTGTAACACCCCACTTTTCTTAAACTTACTTAATAAGCTAAAACCAAAAATAAGATAAACTAAGCAGCGCATAAGTAAACTTAATTAACAAACTTATTAGGAGTGTCACCGCCACAACCACCTTCCCACGGTGATTGCACATGCTAAGGGTAAAACTAAACATCAAGTCAAACTAACATCCGAAAATTTTTACATTAAGTTAACGTGGAAAAAAGTACCCCGGTGTCTATCACCAAACAAAATAACAAGTGTCTACATCCATAAATCCAAAACATCATCAATAAAACAAGAGTTTAGACTAATAGCAACAAACTACACTAGTCTAACTCGAGCATTTTCAAACGCGACCCACCTGAAAGGGTTTTGCAAAACAACAAGTATACAAGTAGAAAACATCCGTTAGCACGAAGCTAAGTATAAATCCACTCAACCCTGTAAAATACTACAGTATATACTTTGGAAAAACATTTCATCACATTCTCAAATTTAAGCAGTCTCAAACACACAAAAACCTTAATAAAAACCACAAAACTTTCTATATGCTCATAACCTAATTTATCAATAGGCATACTTTAACAATAAACAATTATCAACATGCTCATACCAACACATAATTAACAAGCAAAACTCAACTTTCTGGGACAACTCCTTAACAATCTCATGCTAGCAAGTTTTCATTATGCAAATAAGTATAATCAAATATCCAATATATGATCTAACGAATCCATATCATGCAAACTTGTGCAACCAGATATCAATATGCAATCTAGTGCAAACTTCCTCGATATGCAAACTTGTGCTACATTCTTGATATGCAAACTTGTGCAACACTATACTCAAATGCAATGAAATGCTATAAGTATACATATACTATCGTTTGTAAATAGAGTACTTTTCTGTGGAGGTTTCTTAGAGCCACAAAGACTCGCTTGCTTTCATTTATTAGAGTCGCAATGACTCGCTTTCTTTATAAATGGATGAGGTAGGAACTTCACCGTAACGTGAACGGACCTATCCCGGTACGGCCTCTAGCCGACCTATGCTTAATCTCATCCACCGAACCACTCTCTTGGTTCTATGCTCAACTCTGTGGAATTTGGTATCGAACATTCAGCGTGCACACCCCCTGACTAGGATTCCAAGCCTGACGGGCAGTTTCCAACCTCGTAACGTGGGAATACACCGCGTTACAAAACATCAGATCTCAATATCCGGTCATCATCATCCGAAAGGACATAGTCCCAACGGGTCCTCCAAAACCTCATTTATATGGATAGTATATATATTTATATATCTCTCATACAATTCTTCTACTTATGCACTTAATTCAAGTCACTTCTCAACACGTTCTCAAGGCAACAAGGAAATGACATTTCACATGCTCATGAATTTTGGAAAATAACACAAGGCTCACGTTGGCCATTTATGCACTTTTAAAACATGAAATGCTTGGAATGCAATTTTACTGTACAACATACTTCAATTCTGTATTACTGTGAACTTCTCAAAGAACACTTAATCATGCTTGGAATTCAAAACAACAAGCTCTGTACACTTCATCAATTGAAATCTGACTATAATCTCCATGAATCATAATATACACTTTAGGCATGCTCTTCTAACAAAACCTAAACAATTAATGATCATGCTTCTCAATTTAACAACCAAATAACATCATACAGATCGCATAGGCAAAACCAAGACTGACGCTTCTCAAATAACATTACTGGAACATAGTTGCTTCACAAAATCTATCACATAATGCTCAATTCTAATCCAAATTCAACGAACTCAAAGCCCAAACATGCATCATAGCGGCCCCAAGGTACCGAGCCACAAGGGTCCGTGACACCCGGTCCAAAACGACATGTAGCTGAGCCACAAGGGCCCGACCGCTGCACAGGTAACCATCAACGGACCTAACGGCGGGGCTAGGGAAGCTCCGCCGCCTGGAACCGTTCGGCGGCGGCCAAGGGCCACAGCCCTTGCCTAGGGCCGTCTAGCCACAGCTCTAGCCAATGGCTCCCCTCGTAGACCGTTGGCTAGGCCCGTGACTCCCATTGGTGCACACTGAGAGGTGCACTAGTGGCTCCTTCTTCATCTGCAAGGCCAAACCTGTAACACCCCACTTTTTCTAAAACTTAAATACAATTCTATACCATGATTAACGTAACTAAGCAGCAGATAAATAACTTATAATATAACTAGTGGGAATGTCATCGCCACAACCACCACTCCGTGGTGATTGCACAGGCTAAGGGTAGAACTAGAAAATAAATAAATAACTAACAATCCATCAAACTTAATTAAAGCATAAGGGGGATAAACACACCCCGATGTCTACATCATCAAACCACATCACAACATCATAAGTCTAGAATCCGGTAGATAAAGTCATAAGCAAAACATAAAGAGTTTAGACATCTAAAACTAATAGACTAGTCTAACTCGAGCACTTTGCAACGCTGGGCCCACCTGAAAGGGGTTTTACAAGCAACACATAGACAAATAGGAAAACACCCGTTAGCACGAAGCTAAGTATAACCACACTCAACCCTGTAAAGTACTATAGAATATACTTTGGAAAAACATTTGATAACTTTCATAAACAACAATCTCACCTCATAGGCAACTATAAAATCACGCCACATACTTTCTATATGCTTGCAACCTATAATATCAACAGGCATGCTTCAAACCAAAAGACTTAACAACATAGATATTTCAACAAGTAAACATCATATCACACTTATCAAGCAACTCATGCGTACAAGTAATTCTTCATGCTCTGGCAAGCTGGATATACAAGACTTCAAATGTAACTAAACAATCATGCTCGATGTACAAAATCTTGAATCATTACTTTCATTATGCAAACTCTTGCAATACTCTACTCAAATGCAATATCATGCAATACTATAAATATACTCATATGCAATCTCGTGCAATACTATACTCATATGCAATCTCGTGCAATACTATACTCATATGCAATCTTGTGCAATACTATACTCATATGCAATCTCGTGCAATACTATAAATATACTCATACACTCGTTGTAAAATAGAATACTTTATGTGGAGGTCTCATTGAGTCATAAATGACTTGCTTTCTTTCTTTCTTTCTTTTCTTAGAGTCGCAATGACTGACTTCTTTCTTTCTTAGAGTTGTAATGACTCATTCTTTCTCTTTTAGAGTCGCACTGACTCATTCTTTCTCTTTAAATGGACGAGGTAGGAACTTCATCATAGAGTGAATGAACTTATCCAAGCACGGCGTCTATCCGACCTAATACTTTGCTCGCCCACTGAACCACTCTCTTGGTTCTA